ATTTAGATTTCTCTTCTGCTTTGGAAACACCAATTATTCTTTTTTTAAATTATACTTTTAAGTTCTAGGGTACACGTGTACAATGTGCAGGTTTGTTACATATGTATACATATGCCACGTTGGTGTGCTGCACCCATTAACTCATCATTTATATTAGGTATATCTCCTAATGCTATCCCTCCCCCCTCACCCCACCCCATGACAGGCCCCAGTGTGTGATGTTCCCCTTCCTGTGTCCAAGTGTTCTTATTGTTCAATTCTCACCTATGAGTGAGAACATGCAGTGTTTGGTTTTTTGTCCTTGCGTTAGTTTGCTGAAAATGATGGTTTCCAGCTTCATCCATGTCCCTACATTAACTCATCCTTTTTTATGGCTGCATAGTTGGAAACACCAATTTTCCTTAGACTTGGTAATTTAAAGTAATCCCAAACTTCCTGGAGGCTTTGTTCTTTTTTTTTTTTTGAGACAGAATCTTGCTCTGTTGCCAGGCTGGAGTGCAGTGATGCGATCTTGGCTTACTGCAACCTCTGCCTCCTAGGTTCAAATGATTCTCCTACCTCAGCCTCCCGAGTAGCTGGGACTACAGGTGCATGCCACCAAACCCAGCTAATTTTTGTATTTTTAGTAGAGACGGGGTTTCACCAGGTTGGCCAGGATGGCCTCGATCTCTTGACCTCATGATCCACCTGCCTCGGCCTCCCAAAGTGCTGGGATTACAGGACTGAGCCACCACACCTGGCCTGTTCATTTTAAAAAATTCTTTATTCTTTGTTTTTGTTGTATTGGGTTAATTAGAAAACCTTGCCTTCATGCTCTGAAGTTTTTTCTTTTACTTATTTGATTCTATTACTGAGACTTTTCAGCTCATTTTGCATTTCTCTAAGTGTGTCCTTCATTTCCAGAAGTTATGATTGTTTTTTATTTATATTATTTCACTGGAGATTTTCCCATACGTATCCAGTATCTTTTTTTTTTTATTTCTTTAAGTTAGACTTCACCTTTCTCTGGTGCCTCCTGATTAGCCTAATAATTGACCTTCTGAATTATTTTTCTGGCAATTTAGAGATTTCATCTTGATTTGTATCCATTGCTGCTAAACTTTGGAGTGTGATCTTCTGGAGATGTAAAAGAACGTTATTTTGTCATATTACCAGAATTGTTTTTCTGGTTCCTTCTCATTTGGGTAGACTATGTCAGAGGGAAGCTCTGGGACTCAAGGGCTGCTATTCAGATTCTTTTGTCCCTCAGAGTGCTCCCTTGATTTGGTGCTCTTCCCCTTCCCCTAGGGGCTTCCTGAGACATAGGGCTTCCTGAACAAGGGGCTTCCTGAGAGCCAAACTGCAGTGATTGTTATTTCTCTTTTGGATCTAGCCACCCAGTGGAGCTACCAGACTCCAGACTGGTATTGGAGAGTGTCTGCAAAGAGTCCTGTGATGTGTTCCATCTTCAGGTCTCTCAGCTGTGAATACCAGCACCTGCACCAATGGAGGAAGCAGGGGAATGAAGTGGACTCTGTTAGGGTCCTTGGTTGTATTTTTGTTTAGTGTGCTGGTTTTGTGCTGGTTGGCCTCCAGCCAGGAGGTGGCACTTTCAAGAGCACATCAGCTGTAGTAGTACAGGGAGATTACAAGCTTGCCCTAGGGTCAGGTGGTGGGCAGGGCCATAGAGCTCTCAAGAGATATATTCTTTGTTTTCTGCTACCAGGATTGGTAGAGAAAGACCATCAGGTGGGGCAGGTTAGGCATGTCTGAGCTCAAACTCTCTTTGAGTGGGCCTTGCTGCAGCTGTTGTCGGGGTGAGGGTGTGGTTCCCAGGCCAATGGAGTTATGTTCCTGGGAGGATTATGGCTGCCTCTGCTACCTGACAGGTCACCAGGGAAGTGGGGGAAAACCAGCAGTGATAGGCCTCACTCAGCTTCCACGCAGCCCACAGTCTGAAAGACTGGTGTCACTCCCACTGTGCTTCACCTATAGCACAGTTTATTTCCAGGCAGGCAGTGAACAGGGATGAGAACTTGCCCCAGGCTACAAGCCTCTCCACTGAGAAAGCAAGCAGACTCACAATTACTTGGCTGTCCCACAGAGCCTGCAAGGGCATCCACCTCTTTCAAGGGGTCTGTGGATTCTCTTGGCTTTCCTGGTATGTTCCTGCAGTAGTTCTTGGCACAAAAGTTCACGATGTGAGTGTCTACTTACCACTTTTTGAATCACAACTTAGAATAGCTTATTTACTTTCCTATGTTTCTTGATTTTTCAAGTCCTGGTTTCCTATTTTGACCTTTTGATAATTCATTTTGCCTTGACAAAGCATAAATTACTATTATTTTTTTGGATGTAATATCACTCTTGTTGCCCAGGCTGGAGTGCAATGGCGCGATCTCGCTCACTGCAACCTCTGCCTACCTGGTTCAAGCAATTCTCCTGCCTCAGCCTCCCGAGTAGCTGGAATTACAAGCGCAAACCACCACGCCTGGCTAATTTTTATATTTTTCATAGAAGTGGGATTTCACCATGTTGGCCAGGCTGGTCTTGAACTCCTAACCTCAGGTGATCCACTGCCTCATCTCAGCCTCCCAAACTGCTGGGATTACAGGCATGAGCCACTGTGCCCTGCTACAAAACATAAATTATATGTATGTATCTGTGGTCAGTACTTAGGAGTCCAAACACACATATAAATCTATAGTCAGAAAAAAATGTAAGTTGAGATCCAGACAATAGGGAAAAATGGTGGATAGGAGGCAGGACTAATTTGCAACTTCTACTGGGACAGACAGAGCAGCGCGTAGGGACCACTTTTTGAATTACAACTTAGAATAGCTTATTTACTTCCCTATATTCCTTGATTTTTCAAGTCCTGGTTTCCTATTTTGACCTTATTTTCTATTTATGGACATAGTGTTCTGAGACTAATCAAGAACTCTCAGGTTTCTTTTTTTTCTTTTAAAAGAACACACATAATTCTTGAATATATTGTTTTAATAAAATATCCAAGCAATATATGTGTATAAAGATGTGAAAGACCTTCCTTAACCCCTCTAAGATTGCTACAATTTAATACTGACCCGAGAATTCTTTTTATATGCACATACATACATATAATTTATGTTTTGTCAAGGCAAAATGAGTTATCAATCACTAGGCAGAGTGGAAGCAAAGGACCTAGGTCTCATAGAAACTAGTAAAAAGATCAGGCATACAGTTAGAAATCAAGAGACCCCCTAGAAAAAAATAAAAGGGAAAAATGCAAGTATCTTTTTCTTAAGAGAAAAAGAAATTTTGCCACCTTGATTTGCAGAAACTATCTTGTTTAATTGTATTTCTCAATTATGAAATTAGTAACCTTTTAATATAATTACTGGTCATTCATATATTTTTTCTATGAATTGCCTTTTCACATATACTTTTCATTTAAAAAACTAGATTGTTCATCTCATTGATTTGTAGGAGTTTTCATATTCTGGCTATTAATCCTTTGTTATGTATGTTACAAGTGTTTTCTTCTAGTCTATGGTTTCTCTTTTAATTTTGAAATGGTGTCCTTGTTTTTTGGAATGGGACTGTTACATTTTATCACAAAATTTATTATTTTTTCTTTATGTCGTCTGAGTTTTGAGTTGTGCTTAAAGAGGCCTTTCTCACCTCGTTAGTGCACACACACATTGTCATCATGATTGTAGAGTACTGGTTTTCAATGCTCCAGGGAACCTGGAGATGGGTAGACGGGAATAGGGCAAGTTAAAATGCCACAAAGCTCACTGTTCTTGTTGAGACTCAGTCATTTTTCTTGAAGAAATTCCTCGGATAACTGCAAGCCTTTAGCTTATTTTCAGAGTTTTGAAACAAGTTGGTTCTGATAATTTCTGCCAGAGTTCTCATTGCTTTTATGGAGGAGATGGTTTCTGGAGGTCCCTTCCTTTGCTATTTTTGTTAACTTGATCAATAATGAGTAGTTGAGGACAGGCATGGTGGCTCATGCCTGTAGTCCCAACACTTTGGGAGGCCAAGGCAGGTGGATCGCTTAAGCCCAGGAGTTCGAGACCAGCCTGGGCAACATGGCAAAACCCCATCTCTACAAAAATACAAAAAAGTTAGCGGGGTATAGTAGTACGTGTCTGTAGTCCCAGCTACTCAACAGGCTGAGGTGGGAGAATCGTTTGAGCTGGGGAGGCAGAGGTTGCAGTAAGCTGAGATTGTGTGATTGCATTCCAGCCTGGGCTATAGACAGATACCCTGTCTTAAAAAAATTAATTAATTAAAAAAAGACTAATTGAATGAATAAATAATGCCCAGCTTTTTCTCCTTGATTGTACTTATCAAAGAACTTAGTAATCGTTAGTTTATTATATGATGAATTTCAAGAAAATCTAGTCTGACTATAATGTGATTTTCTGTCTGAAATTGATCATGGGAATTGTGTTTTTTTTTTTGTCAAGGCTAATTAGTAGTGGTCAGGGAGAATTTAAATTTAGCAGTTGAACATGGCTTTCAATCTGTTTAATTCTTAAGGAAGTTTTTTTGTGGAAAATTATAATTTATCTGAATATTTTCTTTTTAAAATTAAAAATATACTGAGCTCTCTGATGTGACTACAAATTTTAGAAAATGATAAAGTGATTTGGTATTTAATTTATTTTAGTTAAATTGTTCTAAAATTATAGAATCTAAGATTCAGAAGTAGATGTCTTGGGGAGCCCCAGATTTGGTTTGCTAGTCAGGGTCACGCTGAATATTTCCTTCTGACCAGGTTCTTTTCAATTCATTTTATATGCTAAGGATTGTTAACATAAGAATATGAAATTCCTATGGAGAAAAAAAGACCAATGTTTTAGTCACTATTATAAAGTTATTTTATAACAGTGATTTACTTGTTGATAAATATTTATAAAATCCCGTGCTTATATAAGGTTATTTTCCCTTAGTGGGCTATTGACACAAAGTCACCTCCTTTTCCAAGAAAAGCTATTGATTCTCATGGTATACTAATTTGTTTTTTGCAGCATTCTGGGATGCCTTGAAGATTTTCTGTAGGATAAAAGGTGGTCGAGTTTCAACTGATGAAATATTTGGTGTTTTGGATAGCATGGGTATCCCTATAAACCCTGAAATTTTAGAAGAAGTGATAAAACATACCTATATTGACAGTGAGTTATTTGCATTGAAATATATATGTAAATATATATGTGCATGTATTTATACATTTTTTTTCTGGATATCAATTTTGTGATCTGTCCTTTGCTTCTCCTTTTTTCTCTTGATTCTTACCTTTTGCCGTTGACACTGTTTACTGGTGTCTATAGTAAGAAATAGTCTAGAAAAATTAAGTGAGAAGTTTCTAAAATTGTTATAGTTTGGTATGTTTGGTAAAAGAGTAAAATGAATTTTAAAAGAATTCAGCCTTATATCTCTTTTCCAAGTCATTTCTGGTCTTTGTGGAGAAGTAGTTTCTTGTAGTGTCGAGGGCATTGACTCCACAAGTTAGAAGACCTAAATTTCTTTTTCTTTTTTTTTCTTTTTTTTTGAGACAGAGTCTCGCTTAGTCGCCCAGGCTGGAGTGCAGTGGCGCGATCTCGGCTCACTGCAAGCTCCGCCTCCCGGGTTCACGCCATTCTCCTGCCTCAGCCTCCCGAGTAGCTGGGACTACAGGCGCCCGCCGCCTCGCCCGGCTAATTTTTTTTTGCATTTTTAGTAGAGACGGAGTTTCACCGTGTTAGCCAGGATGGTCTCGATCTCCTGACCTCGGGATCCACCCGCCTCGGCCTCCCAAAGTGCTGGGATTACAGGCGTGAGCCACCGCGCCCGGCCGACCTAAATTTCTTGAATTCTTAACTTTATTATGTAGCTTTGATTAAACAATTTTGCTATGCCCTTCAGTTACTCTCTGTACAATGCGGATTGCTTTAAACATGATAAAAATATTTAGCAGGTGTTTTGTATTACATGTTTACTTGTAACCAGAGGATGTCCTATAATAATTAGTGATTAATTGATTGATTCATTTTATTATTTTATTATTTTTAGAGCTTCACTCTGTTGCCCAGGCTGTAGTGTAATGTCGTGATCATAGCTTGCTGTAATCTTGACCTCCTAGGCTCAGTAATCCTCCTACCTCATCTTCCTGAATAGCTAGGACTATAGGTGTGTGCCATCATGCCAGGCTAATTTTTATTTTGTAGAGATGAGGTCTTGCTATGTTTCCTAGGCTGGTCTCAAATTTCTGGCCACAAGTGATCCTCCTGCCTCAGCCTGCTGAGTAGCTGGAATTACAGGCATGAGCCACTGGGCCCAGCCTGATTCATTCACTTAATGAATCAGATAGTCATTTAATATCTACTATGCCTGGAACTGTGCTAGGTGATGCAAAGATGAATAAAACACACTTCTTCTTCTTCTTTTTTTTTTTTTTTTTTTTGAGGGAACTCACATTCAAGTGTGGAAAAAACTAAGCAAACCAAAAATTAAAATGCTCCATGGCAAATACTATAATAGAGTGTACATAGGCTGCTAATACATACTGGAAGCCTTGGGGAAAGATTACCAGAGGAACTGATGTCTGAGCTGAATCTTGAAGGATCAGTATGAATTAAGTAGTTGAAGGTGGTAGCAAAGAGTGAGAAAAACATCTTAAGCCAAAGGAACAGTTTGTGTAAATATGGCAGAAAAATACTCAGACATGACATCTTTCTGAGTGGGCTTCCACTAGTTTTTGTCATTTATTAATGGTGGTTTTGTAGTGGGCTTTTGGTTGCTGATATGTGGTCTGGAGATAGAATCCAGCCACATGGAGTTCTATTAAGAAGTCAGGTATGGTGGGCTCTGGGGTGAGGCATGAGTGGAAGGATATGATGGGGTATGAAAATGTAAAATGGGGATTTTAAAGCCTAATCTTAAGCCTTTAGGGCATGCCCTACCAGGAACAACAGAAATCATATATGAAACAGCTGCAGTACTTTGCTTTTTGCTTGTGGAGTTCTGGTCTCGGTCTCCAGGTCTCCTGCTTTATTTGGGGAGGTATATTGGACAAATGATACTAATTTTATAGACTTGTTATAGGAATTAAATATACACATCACAGTGCTTGGCACCTAGAATAGACACAAGAAGGGTGAGGTAGAAACCTGAGAGTCATCCTTGACAACTCTACTTCTCTATTCCTCATGCAATAGTTCCCTTATTTAAAGTCTTCGATATATCTTTTTAAAAACTTTTCCTCTTTTTTCTGTATATAAGATAGATATCTCTTAAGTCTTTCCATTTCTCTCTCTCTTTTTTTTTTTTTTACTCCTCTCTGTTGCCAGACTGTAGTGCAGTGGTGTGATCTTGGCTGACTGCAACCTCCGACTCCCTGGTTCAAATGGTTCTCCTGCCTCAGCCTCCAAGTAGCTGGGATTACAGGCACGTGATACCACGCCCAGCTAATTTTTGTATTTTTAGTAGAGACAGGGTTTCACCATGTTCCCAGGATAGTCTGGATCTCCTGACCTTGTGATCCACCTGCCTTGGCCTCCCAAAGTGCTGGGATTACAGATGTGATCTATTTCTCCTTTTTTTTTTTTTTTTTTTGAGATGGACTCTCGCTCTGTCGCCCAGGCTGGAGTGCAGTGGCCGGATCTCAGCTCACTGCAAGCTCCGCCTCCTGGGTTTACGCCATTCTCCTGCCTCAGCCTCCCGAGTAACGACTACAGGCACCCACCACCTCGCCCGGCTAGTTTTTTGTATTTTTTAGTAGAGACGGGGTTTCACCGTGTTAGCCAGGATGGTCTCGATCTCCTGACCTTGTGATCCGCCCGTCTCGGCCTCCCAAAGTGCTGGGATTACAGGCTTGAGCCACCACGCCCGGCCTGATTTATTTCTCTTTATCTTCCTATCTTAGTCCAAGTTCACATAACCTTTCCTCAGGACCATTGCAGTTCATCCTAACAAATATACCCCTATCCACTCTTACATTCCTTTACAGTGCAGCTGTAATGATCTTCGTTCAAATACAGGTCTGATCATGTTATTCTCCTCACATGAAATCTAATAATACCTCTTGGGATAAATAACTCTTTTAGTGTGGTTTACAGGGCCTTGCATGTTCTGGCTTTTACCCAGATCTTCATCTTTATCTGAGACCATATTCTCCCTTGCTCTCTGTGCCTTCTTAGTTTCAACTACATACCATGCCCCTTCTTGCCAAATGGCTGTTGCATGTGTTCATCTCTCTTCCTTGAAACCTTTCTCTCCCCTTAAAGTGTAAGTTAATTCCTACTTATACTTTAGATCCAAACTCAACTGTCTTTTCCTCAGGGATGTTTTCCCAGACCTCTCTGAGTAGGTCAGATTCTCATGTTATACACTCTCATAGCACGATTCACAATTGAAATTTGTATTTTTGTTGGATTGACATTGGTGTTTCAAATAAGACTGAGCATCAGGTGAGCAGATATCATGTCTGCTTTAGCTTAATACTGTATCTTCAATACCTAGCATGGTGCTTATGGCACATATTAACCGCTCAACAAATATTTGTTGAATGAGTGGATAATTCTGATTCCTCATGCCACATCTTCCAATCAGAAAGAACAAAATATTCTTCATTTTATCATATAAACAAGCTGGCTGCAGTTTGAGGCAAAATTCCTCATAAGGAAAGTCCTTATCTTTTGACCAGGAAAATCATCTTAATAGATATATTAGATTATGAGAGTTAAAACATACCGGGAAACATCTAGATTGAGCAAAAAGATAAGATAAAGTACTGTACATAAGAAAGCAACAGGAATTTGATTTGAAATATAGTGGTGGCTCAGTAGTGGAGGAAGAAGATGGATAGAACCTAAGAGTGAGTGAGGGTAGAGTAACCACAGAACTTTAGGACTATAGTATGTAGTTGCTTGCTGTGCTTCTTAAGAACTCCCTTACTCCCATCAATTGCAAATTACCAGTAAAAGTTGGTTATATACAATAAACTTGTATTAATATTGTTGGTGGGGAGATTTCAAGGATAAAGACCTATGGGTTCTATGTTGGATCTTCTTGGGGCAGAAAGAGGATTGCACCTGTAGAAGGCAATAATGTGAGTGAGATCAAGAGTCCATGGGAATAGAGAAACAAACCTAAAATAAACAAAAAGAGTACAAATGACTCAGGAATCCTCAAATTTTGGTCAAGGTATTGATTTATGTTAGTGTATGCTCTGGGGTCTGAGCTATTTTAATGTTAAAGGAAAAGTTAACCCCAGGATGCCAACAATTTTGGGTTACCCAGGTAGGAGATGTTAATTTTTCTGTAGCAGAATTTTGCAGTAAGAAATAATATAACACAGTTATCCTGCTAAAAGAAGACAGCACTGCAGGTGCTGTTCTAGCATCTTATTTTTGTATTTGGTATATTGTTGAAGATGATAGGTAGATAATATGTTCATCTTTATAGGTGTTCACAATGAGGGAGAAGGAATTATGCCTCTGAAATTTTCAGGAAAGTCCAAGGAGGATTTGCTTTATTTAGATATGGCAAGAAGTGCCATATGGAAAATCAGCTGATGGCAGTTCTTAGAGGGTCAGGTATTTTGGTTTCTGAAATAGTGTATTGGTATAGCAGTTTTTTTTTCTCTCATGGACGTTAGAGATCTGAAAAATTGAACTGGTTGGAAAGTTGTGACTAGTGCAGTTTTTACTAGAGGAGGCTTTTGATATTGTGGAGCTACCTGAAGATTACAGAAATGTAGTGTTAATGGTCACTTAGTACCTTCAGAGTAATGTTGCCTTGCATATATGACCTTAATAATTAGGATCATTTTTTTTTCCTCTCACAGTAGGTAGTTGTGTTTTCCAGGATGAATTTCTTCCAGAATTATATACCTTAGAGTAGGAGGCTGTTTTGAGCTTCCCTTAGGAAATAAATGATACCTATGATCGTATTGATTGCCTTAGTTTCAACCAGGAATCATTCTTTAAGGTTTTGCTAAGTCAGATAGGGACCAAGATCGTCATTTCAGATTCTGGAATGTGTCTTCGGCCACTAGGGACTATTTAAGTAGGTAATATTTGTTTGGGAGTTTCATGATAGGTGTTTATTATTGCATAGATGCAAGGAATAAATTTGAGCAAGAGCTAATGAATCTGTGAACATGGTTGACTACCACACTCTTATTAGTTGAGGCTGGACTTCTGTTCAGAGAAAGGAGTTTTCTAAATGAAGAGCAGGCAAAAGCAAGATGGCCTTTTCCACTGGATTAATACATGTATGGTCTAACAGAATACTTTTTAATGATCAGATTCAAGAGCTTGTGGGTTGAAGAAGCTTTGAGTTGTCTTAGGACTTAAGCTATGATCTAAGAACATGGGACATGCAATCAATCTACCGTAAGTGCCAGTTACTGGGGGAGATTATGGGAAGTGTTAGAACTATAATCAAAACTAGGATGAGGATAAATACCAAGGAAATAAGAAACCGGAATGTAGGAAGCAATCTCTAATCAGAAGGCAATTTAGCACCAATTTTGTCTAGCATTTCTTTGATTGGTTCAAACACATAGTACTTGCTTTGCAGTGATTTAAAGGCCTGCACCTGAAATACATAGTTTACCAATTTTCAGAGAATCAGAGTGAATCAGGTGGACCCAACACCAAAATGATACTATTCTTTGATTTAAATATTTGCTTCTCGTCGCGGCAAGAGGGGCAGGGTGGCTGGGCCACTCCCCTTGGCCCTGGTCCCGGCCTGCCCCACCCAGCTGCCATGGCCCAGGATGAGGGTATATATTCAGAGGGGACACAGGATGCCAGCGCAGAAGGAGCCGGGTGGAGCTGTGGTCGCACTGAGGAAGCTTTGTAGGTACATGCATTGCATCCCTATTTTCACAAAGCTTGGCTATCAGAGCATTATGAACACTAATGACCTCAAACTCAGGTTGTCCAAAGCTGAGCAAGAACACCCACTACGTGTCTGGAGTGAGCTTGAAGAAGCCCAACAGGTAGAACTTTATGCAGAGCTCTAGGCCTTCAACTTTGAGGAACTGAACTTCTTCTTCTCAAAGGCCATTGAAGGATTTAACCAGTCCTCTCATCAAGAAAAGGTGGATGCGTGAATGGAACTTGTCCCTCGAGAGGTACTGGGCAGTGCTACAGGGAAGCTAGATCAGCTCCAGGCCTGGGAAAGCAAAGAACTTTTCCAGATTTCTCAGAACAAAGTAACAGTTTTTCTAGTTGGTGGACAAGGGACTAGACTCATTGCATATCCAAAGGGGATGTATGATGTTGGTTTGCCATCCCATAAGACACTTTTTCAGATTCAAGCAGAGCATATCCTGAAGCTACAATAGTTAGCTGAAAAATATTATGGTAACAAATGCATTATTCCATATAATGATCAGTGGCAGAACAGCGGAATCTACAAGGAGTTCTTCACCAAGCACAAGTACTTTGGTTTAAAAAGAAAAGAAAATATAATCTTTTTTTCAGCAAGGAATGCTCCCTGCCATGAGTTTTGATGGGCAAATTATTTTGGAAGAGAAGAACAAAGTTTCTATTGCTCCACATGAGAATGGTGGTCTTTATTGGGCTCTTGCAGCCTGGCATATTGTGGAGGATATGGTGCAAAGAGGCATTTGGAGCATTCATGTCTATTGTGTTGACAACACATTAGTAAAAGTGGCAGGCCCACGGTTCATTGGATTTTGCATTCAGAAAGGAGCAGACTGTGGAGCAAAGGTGGTAGAGAAAACAAACCCTGCAGAACCAGTTGGAGTGGTTTGCCGAGTGGATGGAGTTTACCAGGTGGTAGAATATAGTGATGTTTCCCTGGCAACAGCTCAAAAACGAAGCTCAAATGGATGATTGCCGTTCAATGTGGAGAATATTGCCAACCATTTATTCACCGTACCATTTCTGAGGATGTTGTCAATGTTTATGAACCTCAGTTGCAGCACCATGTGGCTCAAAAGAAGATTCCTTATGTGGATACCCAACAGCACTTAATTAAGCCAGATAAACCCAGTGGAATCAGTATGGAAAAATTTGTCTTTGACATCTAGTTTGCAAAGAAGTTTGTGGTTTATGAAATATTATGGGAAGATGACTTTTCCACACTAAAGAATGCTGACAGTCAGAATGGGAAAGACAATTTTACTACCGCAAGGCACACTTTCATTATTGCTGGGTTCTCAATGCAGGGGTCACTTTATAGATGAAAATGGCTCTCATCTTCCAGCAATTTCCCACTTAAAGGATGCCAATGATGTACCAGTCCAGTGTGAAATTTCTCCTCTTATCTCTAATGCTGAGGAAGGAATAAAAAGTTATGTACAGATGTAGAATTCCATGCATCTTTAATCATCGATGAGAATGGAGTTCATGAGCTGGTGAAAAATGGTATATGAACCTGATTCCAAGTTCTGCCACAATAGGAATAGCTTTTATTTTTGATAGACCAACTGTGAACCTATAGGACCTCCTGGATGACTGAAGTTTAAATATCCACAGGGTTTTATTTTGCTTGTTGAACTCTTATAGCTACTGCAAACTTCCTAAGATTTAGATGACTGAACTTCAGATAGCATTTTTATAATTCTCAACTCATTGAAGGTCTTATTTATATTTTTCAATTGTGTATTTTTTTCCAAGGCAAGGAAACCATTGGCAATCCAAGAAATTTCCTACAGCTGAACTATAGTCAGGATGTTCAACATCACTTTACTTGGAGCTGGAGGCATTTGTTTTTGAAGTTGTGCATAGTAATAATATGTCATTGTAGATGTTGAAAGGTTTCTATGATACCAAAAGTTTATTTTATCAAACATTAAACTTTTTAAATGAAATAATTGGACAGTAAAATAAACTTATCTTCCTGTCTGTGGAAAACAATAAAAATTTGCTTCTTCCTCTCAGAGTTTTCACTTATGCATATTATTGAGCAGTTGATTTTTTATGAATAGACTGAAGAAAAAAAACATCAGTATTATAGATAGATAAGTAAATTTTCAGTCTTTTTCATCTTGGATGGCAAACAAAATCAAATATTTGGAGGCAAGAATTATTGAGCAAAGCGTTTTCTATCTCTGTGCACAATTGAAATGACATTATTCAAGGTCACTGCATCTGAACACATCCTCATTCATGCATTATTCAAGAAGAAAAATGGTCTTTGACGGGCAGGGGCAGGAATAGTGGGAAGTTATGAGAGTGCTGGACATGGAGAAGGTACAAAGTAAATCATTGTCTGCTATTCACTATGTAGAATTGCATTGTTTTTTATTGCCTTCTGTATATTTTGTTCAGTCAAAAATAATTTTTAGTGATAAGAAGTAGGTGCTTTGCGAGGCATTGGGGAAGAAAATGAAAAACACATCCTCTGTTCTTGAGGAGTTCACAATCTAGAAATGAAGTCAAAAGAGTAAGTAAATACCTGTAATAAACTCTAAAAAACATGTAAAATGAGAAAATATTCTGATTAGCATGAGAGCTTAAAATATGACTATTTCTTTTGATGAAAAACTGCTTTATTAAGGAGAAAAGACCATGGCCTTACTCTTATGTTTTAGTGTGTACTGAGTTATCAATTCATGATTTCAGATTCTATTCAGAACTTGTAATAGTTGGCTCTTTGTTCCTACTTGCCACACATTCTGTGGTGTTTTCATGTTAGAATAGGATGGCAGATATATCTATGTTCAAAAGTAAATACAGTATTTGAACTTATTCTATTACAGGTAACCACATGGTGGATATTGGGGATATTATATTTATTTTGAATGAGCTACAGGAACAGTATGAGGATGTTCGTAAGTGACCTCGTGTTGCTATAAGTTTTGTTTATAATTAAAGTCTTTACATTAAATCTTAATTTATAAGTTTTATTTTATAAAGGATTTTGAAAACCTCTGAATAATTTACCCTCTTAAATCAGGGAGATAAAATATAATACTCAAAATGCTATTTACATGTCTTCTTTTTAGAAATGTCTATGCACGTTCTTTGCCCAGTTATTAATTAATTAATTAATTAATTATTTTGAGATGGAGTTTTGCACTTGTTGCCCAGGCTGGAGTGCAGTGGCACGATCTTGGCTCACTGCAACCTTTGCCTCCTGGGCTCAAGTGATTCTCCTGCCTCAGCCTCTGAAGTAACTGGGGTTACAGGCATATGCCACCATGCCCAGCTAGTTTTGTATTTTTAGTAGAGAGAGGGTTTCACCATGTTGGTCAGGCTGGTCTTGAACTCCTGACCTCAGGTGATCCACCTGCCTCAGCCTCCCAAAGTGCTGAGATTATAGGCGTGAGCCACCACGTCTGGTTCTTTGCCCAGTTTTTAAAGGTTTTTTTTTTTTTTTTTTTCCCCACTGTTGAGTTGTTTGAATTCCTTATAAATTCTGGATATTAATCCCTTCTCAGATGAATAGTTTGCAAATATTTTCTCCCATTCAAGAGGTTGTCTCTTCATTCTGTTATTTCTTTTGCTGTGCGAAGCTTTTTGGTTTAATATAGTCTCATTCGTCTATTTTTGTTTTTGTGGCTGGTGCTTTTGAGATCTTAGTCATACAATCTTTGCCTAGACCAATGTCCTGTAGACTTCTCCCTATGTTATCATCAAACAGTTTTTTAGTTTCAGGTCTTATGTTTAAGTTTTTAATCCAGCTTGAGTTGTTTTTTGTATATGATGAGAGATAGGGGTTTAGTTTCATTCTTCTGCATATGGTTATCCACTTTTCCCAGCACCATTTATTGAAGAGGGTATCCTTTCCTCAGTGTACATTCTTGACTGCTTTGTTGGCTTTGTTGCTCTGTTGGGCATAAACCAACAGTTGATCAGTTGGGTGTAAATATGTGACTTTATTTCTGGGTCCTTTATTCTGTTCCATTGGTCTCTGTGTCCATTTTTTTTGAGATGGAGTCATGCTGTGTCACCTAGGCTGCAGAGCAGTGGTGTGATCTCAGCTCACTGCAACCTCTGCCTCCTGGGTTCAAGCGATTCTCCTGCTTCAGTCTCTTGAGTAGCTGGGATTACAGGCATGCATGGCCATACCTGGCTAATTTTTGTATTTTTAGTAGAGACGGGGTTTCAACATATTGGTCAGGCTGGTCTTGAACTTCTGACCTCAGGTGATCCACCTGCCTCGGCCTCCCAAAGTGCTGGGATTATAGGTGTGAACCACTGTGCCCGGCTTTTTTTTTTTTTTTTGATTTAGATTAATTTTATTGACAAGGTTTATAAGAACAAATTAAATATTTAAAATCAAAGGCCAATTATTAGGTCTCATTTAGTTGCTTATTTTGTTCACTTCTATTTACCTTTCCCTAGTGTCTAAGTAACTGTCAAACAAGTCAAACCTGTGAAAATACCTGTTAACATTCAACATATATATTTCTGTTCTATGATGCAAAGATTTTTTCAACACTTAATTGGTACATCAAATGTGTCATTCTGTCATAAGCAGCATGTTTTAAAATTCAGATTTAATAAATGATTAGACATGAGTAAATTGAAAGACAAAATTAGTCTCCATTCAGGAGTGTCCAATTAATGTTGATCATCTAGAATCAACACTGATTAGCCAAACTTTAAAAGCCAGAGCCCCAACTCCAGAGAAACATTAAATTTCTTTAATGTAAAAGTATATTATTTTTGAGACACACTCTGTCAGAGATATCCACAATTACTTGCACATTATATTCTGGCATTATAATCTGGTACTTTAATCGTAATCATGAAGGTGGCTAGGTTTCCGGTAAATATCAGCATTTTATATGGGCAAAAGCAGTTAATAAAAATTGGTTCATTTACTATAAGCCAAGTGTGCTTGTACTTAATCCCACCCTTTCCCAAAGTTTTTGAAGCTTTGATATGTTGATTTTTGGTCTGTCCTTAATATAAAACGTACCTACAGACACTTTTACAGAGTTAATACTAAAATTACAAATTGATGACACTTTCGAGCAAAGCAGGATAACTGTTCCTTCAGTGTTTCATCACTGAATTGACTTTCCCTGCTCCATCATACTGTCTGGCTGAACACTGACATTCCATAGTCTACAACTGTAAAGATACCTACCTATGTGAGTTTAAAAAGTGGTCTGCACAAAAGAAATAAAAAACTTTATATGCAACAAATTGTTTTTTAAAAATACAAGAATAACACCTATCACTTTTGTCATGCTAACAATCTGACATATATACACATGCAGGAGAAAAGTTCCAATTCAGTCATCTGGACAACTGTAGCTTATATATTTTTAATATGATGGACACACTGCCACTGAATTTTCACACTGACAGAGATGTGTATTCAAAATATTTCATATACTAAATACTGCAATCTCTGTGTGTATAAATCCCAGTCATAATAGTTTTTGTTCTACTTGATTAAAAGTATGCCTTAAGCAAGCTAATATTAAGTGCACTAAAAACCACGACAGTTCAAGAATCTATCCTTATATAAAGAAACCCAAAATGTACAAAATACAACTATAAAAGCAAGATTAATTAATGCCATGCAAGATTTTAACTAAAAATGGCATAGAAATGCAATTTAAAATAGCAAACTCAAATTCACATAACACTCAAGATAATGAGGTCAGCAGTAAGTTCTATCGTTGCTTAAAAAGGATTTAGAAAAGGAAATACATTCTCTTTGCTGGTATAATGGTATAAATCAGATCTTCGAATCTATGGGACAAGTCATCTTCTCTGTCCTCTATCTCAAGAAATTAGCTCTTTTACATTAGCTGTTTTTATGAAATCTTTTCTTTCAGTTAAATCATAAGTAGGATAATTTTCATAGACCTTTTTGCAAATCTGTTTCATTGTGACTTCTTCCAAGTTAGCACTGGCCAGTAATTTATTGTTTCCTTTAATTCTTCATCTGTAGGGGGTTTCTTCAACTTTTTAATTAAAGGTTCATCATCTGAACTGTCCTCAGACTCACTTTCTTTTTTGGAACTGTTTTGATTCTTCTTGGTGGTGCTGCCATCTGCTTTCTTAACATTGGCACTTTTCACAGATTTTTTACTTTTAGAAGTAGCTTTCTGTTTAGGTTTTCCTCTTTTGGCTGTCTTTTTTTTGGTGGCTCCTCTTCACTTTCTTTATCTTCATCATCTGAAGACTCTTACTTGTTTTTCTTTTCATCTTCATCACTACTAGATACATCTGACAGAATTTCAGGATGTTTGGTTCGCTTAGCCTTTCTTGCCATTCCAGAACTGTTCCGTTCCTTTTTACTGCCTTTGCTAGAAGTTTTTTTTAGATTTTGGCAATGGTTTGCCAGAAGGCTTTGGATGCATTAAGAAATTCAAGATCCTCTTCACTAGTTCACTGTTTACACCTGATCTCTCCAAATCAAGAACCTCACAGATGCTCTTTAACATGGCATTTCTAAATTTTTTCAACATTTGTTACTTCTTTTTGTATTGGACACTTCCTTTTTCAAACGGAAAGCCACTGAACTGACCCACATTCTTAGTGCCTGGCCTGTTATAAAGCAGTTTGTGTAGATTTCTAAGTTCATTGGTTTTCTTCTTACTTAGAAAAAAATTTATCCTCTCAGTTTCACAAAGTTTCTGCCGCTTTCCTTGTGCAATTGTAAATGGCTCTCTCTGTAAGGTAGAAACTTGCATTGTCAACCTCGCTACTTTCTTCTTTTCCCTCTTGCCTTCCACGATGAGACTCTTTTCTGTTTCCTCCTCCTCCTCATCGTTGTCCTCGTCCTCTTCCTCCTCGCTCTCCTCTCTGGTACCAGACATTTTGGGTTCTTTCTCACATGCGGACTGGGCGGGGGTTCCCTCGCCCTCCGCAGCAGGGGCCGAGGTGGACATGCTGTGAACCGCGGATCCCGGCCGCCACGGGCCTGGCACGCGAGGGCACGAGGAGGTTCTGGGAGGCGGCGGTGGCCGATGCCGAGGAGAAGGCGCGCCGGGCGCTGTCTCGCTTGACGCTCGCGCCGCGCGCTCGGCTACCCAGAATCAACAAGGTGTGCCCGGCTTCTATGTCTATTTTTATATATGCTGTTTTGGTTGCTGTATTAGTCTTTTCTTATACTGCTAATAAATACATACCTGAGACTGGGTAATTTATAAAGGAAAGACATTTAATTGACTCACAGTTCCACATGGCACTTTATGTTTTTTCTTTGGAGATTTTAATTCATTTACATTCAAGGTAATTATTGATATGGAAGGATTTTACTACTGCCATTTTGTTAATTGTTTTCTGCTTGTTTAATAGATCCTTTGTTTCCTTATTTTTCTCTTCTTTTATGATTGATTTTTCTCTATTGATTTTTTTCCTTTTTATCTTTTATTTACTGTAGGTTTTTGATTTGTGGCTACTCTGAAGCTTACAAAATATCTCGTAGTTATGACAGGCAATTTTAAGCTGATAGCAAGTTAGCTTTGCTTGCATAAACAAACTATGCTTTTACCTCGTCTCTCCTTCTGCATTTATAATTTTTGATGTCACAATTTACAGATTTTTATATTGTCTCTCTTAACAAATCATTGTAGATATTATTATTATTATTATTATTATTATTATTGTTTTTTGAGATGGAGTCTCGCTCTGTCGCCAAGGCTGGAGTGCAGTGGCGTGATCTCTGCTCACTGCACGCTCAGCCTCCCAGGTTCACGCCGTTCTTCTGCCTCAGCCTGCGGAGTAGCTGGGACTGCAGGCGCCTACCACCATGCCGAGCTAATTTTTTGTATTTTTAGTAGAGACGGGGTTTCACCGTGTTAGCCAGGATGGTCTCGATCTGTTGACCTCCTGATCCGCCCGTCTCGGCCTTCCAAAGTGCTGGGATTACAGGCGTGAGCCACAGCTCCCAGCCAGCTTTTATTTTTTTTAACCTTCATACTATGTAAGTGAAGTGCACACCACCATTACAGTATTAGTGTATTCTGACTTGGTGTACTTACCTTTACCAGTGAGTTTTACACATTTATATGTTTTTGTGTTACTAAACAGCATCTTTTTCTTTTGGCTTGAAGAACTCTTTTCAACATTTCATGTAAGACAAATCTAGAGGATGAACTCTTTCAGCTTTTGTCTGGGAAAGTCTTTATCATTTCTGAAGGACAGTTTTTCTAGGTACAGTATTATTGGTTGGCAGTTTATTTCCTTCAGTACTCTGAATATATTTTCCATTCTCTATGAACCCATAAGGTGTCTGCTGAGAAATTTGCTCTCCTTATTGGAATGTATATCTTATTTACTTTTCTCTTGCTATTTTCAGAATCTCCCTTTTGTTCTTGATATTTGACAGTTTGAATATAATATGTCTTGGTGTAGTCTTGTTTGAATTCATCTGATTGGAGGCATTTGGCCTTCCTGTACCTGGATATTTACATATTTGCCCAAATTTGGATTGTTTTCTGTTCTTGTTTATGTAAGTTTTCTACTCTTTTGTCTTTCTCTTCTCCTCCATAAACTCTTATACCTTGACCATTTTCTCTTTGGATGCTGTCCCATAAATCCTGTAAGCTTTCCCCATTATTTTTCATTATTTTTCTTTTATTCTCCTCAGACTATGTATTTTCAAATAATTTATCTTCAGGTTCACAGATTCTTTCTTGTACTTGATCAGTTATGTTGCTGATGTTCTCTATTGTATTTTCCATTTCTTTCATTACACTTTTCAACTCTTGATTTTTGTTTATTTATTTTCTTTTGTGTAATTTCAATGTCTCCGTAAAATTCTATTTTTGGTCATTTATTGTTTTCCTGATTTCATTGAATTTTTTTCTCTGTATGTCATTAATTTTATTCCCTGTACTTTCTCTAGACAATTAGTTTGAATTCTGTCAGGAAGTTTCTATATCTTCATTTCTTTGGGGTCAGCTATCAGGAGATTATTGTGCTCTTTTGGTAGTATTATGTCTCCTGGATTTTTCATGTTTCTTGTTGCCTTATGTTGATGTCTCTGCATTTGAAGGACTGGGAAAGCCCTTAATCAGTCAGAATCAGAGATTCTGGACAGGCTGTTTGGTGTGGTCCAAAAGCCTAAATCAGAAGTGTCAAAGATTATATTTTTACCTGCTCACTAACCTATTTATCTGTTAGATAATGTACTTAGAGATACATATATAGCACCATCTTTAAGTATTTTCAGACTTTAATATTAGAATATTTTCATTTATTTATTTTCAATTGTTCATTCTCATAGAGTCTAAAATAAGAAACTTTTTTATTTCCTCTAGGCAAAATTTATTCATAGTTGAGATTATACTGCTGCTGCTTGACAGTCTCATAGAGTTGTTTTGAGGATCAAATATTATAACATTTGAAATGCTTTAAAATGTGTTATTCAAATGTAAGATAAGATTCTGAAACATCAGATAAATTTTGTAAATGAAGTCCCAGTTTGGGGCATTGTGTTAATATTTTTCTAAAGCTGTTGTTTTATATATGAAGTTATTTTTTCCTCCACAAATACCAAGAATATTTAGGAGAGTAATTACTTAAGTTCTAATTTTATAAATCAAATCTCCCCTTTCCTCATAGTTCTGTACTTTTATAAGTAAGGAATATCTGTCTGTATTAGCTTATTAGTCTATTACCTTTGTCAATTGGGAAAGAGTGGGGAATGAGAACCATATGCTTCATTAGGCTATCGTTTTAGTTTCAGTGTAACTTTAAATAGCGTTGGATGGGAATATGTAAATATATTAAAGCAGCACATTATATTTGACCTAGTTAATGGTCCAATCTTTTGACTGTCAGTTCTTTAATTTTTTTGGTTTGTTTTATATGTTTAAGCAACTAATAATTTCTTGAATAGTTTTCATGAGGACTTAGTTGTTAGTTTTGAAATGTGTTGCAGATTATACAGGTAAATGAAATAATTGTATATTTCTCTTATTTAGCAATTACAGAAGAATCACCTTTGGATGAAATTACTTCAGACAGAAAGTTATCAAGTATAGCAGGATGCTATCTAAAATATAAGAAGAAAAACAGTTTATCTTCCAAACTCCCTGAACCTTCAATATCCAAAAAGTTAAATAACAAAAGCAGCCAATATTATAGCAAAATTATGGAGAACGATGACCTTGAATCTAAAAGATCAAAAAATACTTGGCAAATAAGAAAATTTCTGGATGGGGTCAGCAGCAGTAATGTAGGAGTCCAAGAACCATATTCAAAGAATGGCATAAACTTTAAAAAACATTCAGAGAAGGGTGAAATTCATGACTCAAAGTCTAAACCACAAAGCTTGAAGAGTAGTACAAGCCTCAGTAAGTCGCTGGATAAAAGTGATATTTCTAGTATCCCAAAACTTCAGAAGCCAACTGTAAGAAAGCGTTCCAGCCTCCTAAAGCAGGTTTCGTCTACAGAAAAAACTGCAATTAATACTCTGGGTAAATATTAATCTAGCTTCTCGAGTTCTTCAGTCATCACAGAAATGAACAGAATGAGTCAATTATTAGATAGTTGTAAGCATTTCAATTGTTAACACCCGGGGTAACCACCGCTTCTTTTTTTTTTTAATTTTAAAATTATTTATAGACACAGGGTTGCCCAGGTTGGTCTCAAACCCCTGGCCTCAAGCAATCCTCCTGCATTGGCCTCCCAAAGTGCTGGGATTCACAGGCGTGAACCACCATGCCTACGCAAAAATTCTGGAAACGTACAGTAGTGATGGTGGTACACCTTTGTAAATGTGATTAATGCCACTGAATTATATGTTTGTTTATTACTTATTTTCTGAGTCAGAATCTCACTCTGTCACCCAGGCTGGAGTATAGTGGCATGATCCTAGCTCACTGCAGCCTCGACCTTTTGTGTTCAAGTGATCCTCCCACCTCCTCAGCCTCCCGTGTAGCTGGGAGCATAGGCGCATGCCACCACACCCAGCTAGCTTTTTTTTTTTTCATAGAGTTGGGGTCCCACTATGCTCCCAAGGCTGGTCTTGAACTTCTGGCCCCAAGTAGTGCTCCCGTCTTGGCCTCCCAAGGATCTGCGATTACCGGCATGAGCCGCCAAGTCTGGCCTGCCACTTCTGACACATAGACCGATGGATATAATATTGTGATTTTGATGATAATTCCGTTTCAGATGTCCTCTTTAGGGAGGAGTTTAACTTTTCCTGAGAAACTTATTCAGTGATTAGTTGGAGTCATTAATATTCCCTAGAAAGTAGAAGGCCTGGCTTCTTTTGGAAATGTTTATTTTGTAATTTATTAAATATTTAAACAAGTAGGAAATCTATGTGAAATTTTTGCTTAGAGTGCTGTAATTTAAATATATAATATAGTACTTCAGGTATTATCTCTTATGGAAGGAGAATATCAGGAAAAAATAATACTATATATCTAGGTCTCCAAGTCTTTATGATTTTTCTCAAAGATAAGCAATGGTTTCCCAATCAATATATTTTCTCTCTCTGTATTTCATCACAGAAGCAGTGTGTATGGAACCCAATTAAAGATTTCTTGTAGTCCTCTGCTGAAGTTGCTTAAGTCATATTTATTTATTCTCTTTTAAAAACTCACTGACTTTCATATCACATTTAGTATTTAATGTAATAGATAAAATGATTATTTAGTGAAAAATTTGTGATTCATACCTTAGTGCAAATTCAAATAACTCAATGGAAAAAAGGAATGTGATCTATTAAGGAGGCACAGTGATGATCATCCTGTTTCTGATTCCTTTACCAAGGCACTGCTGCTACTTTGTGCCACATTTGTATTTCTGAGAGTTATTTTTATTTCAATAAGAATTAAAACCTTGGGTTAAAGGAATAATGAAACAGCAGACAGACATGGGTAGAAGAGGCTGTCAGAAGAAAGTGGTATCTACCTTTCTCGTGTCACTAAAATAAAATGATGTCACCTACCACTGCCATATTTAATGTTCCGAATATAGAGAAGTATGAGATAGTTTATCTGGCATAACTTCCCAAAACAAATTGATGGTAATTGGAATTTTATGGAATATGACTGCCTGTATGATTTACATTAAAAATTCTAACTTTTCACTTTTAAATAATTTTACTTTCTTAAGAGTCACAAAAGTAGTACAAACATTTCCATCAGGACATGATCTAAACCAGGAAATTAACACTGATGCAATACTGCTTACTGATCTACAGACCTTATTCAAATTTTGTCGTTTTTCCATAAATGTTCTTTTTCAATTCCAGAATCTAATCCAGAATTACCCACTACATTTAGTTGTCACTTTTCTTTAGTCTCCTTCAATCTGGGATGCTTCTTCAATCTTTCATGACCTTGATACTTTTGAAGAGTATTGACTAGTTGTCTTGTATAATACCTTTCATTTTGGATTTTTTTTTTATTCCTTCGTGAATAAATTCAGATTATGCATTTTTGGTCAGATTACCTCAGAAGTGATATTGCAACCATCTCAGTGCATCATAGTAAGAAGCACATGACGTCTATGTGTATTTGCTTCTAAGACTTTATTTTTTGAAGGTTATGAACTGAAAACATGGTAGAGTAAATTAATGGGAGGGTGAAGAACTCTACAGTTATGCTTGGAATTTTTCAATTTAAACAAAACATTTTGGTGTTTTTATTTCTTGGACTCATTAATTTTACACACACACATATAAACACACACACACACTCAGGCTGGAGTGCGATCTCAGTGCACTGCAACCTCTGCCTCCTGGGTTCAAGTGATCCTCCTGCCTCAGCCTCTTGAGTAGCTGGGGGTACACACATGCGCCATCACGCCCAGCTAATTGTTGTATTTTTAGTAGAGATAGGGTTTCACCATGTTGGCCAGGCGGGTCTCGAACTCTTGACCTTGAGTGACCCACCTGCCTTGGCCTCCCGAAGTGCTGTGATTACAGGCAGGAGCCACCATACCTGGCCCCATTAATTTTATTTTAATCAGAAGCCAGCAGCATTGGCTGGGCCACTGGAACAGGCTGTTCCCCCAAACAAGTAGATTATATAGGTTTATAGAATGTTAAGACAGTTCTGTGTTTGAGCTATAAGAGAAAGATTAAATATAATGTTATGCAACAGATATATGGAAAGAAAAGCAGTCCTATAAAATCTATAAGGTAATATAAAATAGATAAAACTTCTTTAATTTCTACAGATTTTGGGTATTAATTATTGCTTTTGACACATGAATTCTGTTGCCTAATTCTCTACATTTTGTATATTTAGAAAACTTCTGTGAAGCTATCAGTAAACTTCAAGAAAATTACATTTCAGCAGAAGGACTTCAGTCTATTTTGCCTTCAGTAGGAATTACTTTATTAGATAAAGAATTCCAGAAGATTGTGACAGACACTAGTAGAAATGGTGAGAGACTGATAACACTGAAGTTTCTGAGAAAGTTAGGTATTTTTATGGGATAGTATTAAATATTGGAGGAATTCCTCTCAATTAGAAATTAGGAATGGGTCATTCTAAAGAAAATTCAGATATAAAAATAGAAAATAGTAAAAAAATAAAAAATCCTGTAAGTTCTGACCAAATGGATTGGTTTGGAGCATGTAGGCCTTTCATATTTCCGGATCATTTCAGTAAAGCTCTTCATCACTATCCCCTAGCTGTGCCTATTAATAGTAGGGTGGTACTGGGGAGACTGATCCAGTTGTAGCAAGGTTCAGACAGTAAGATCGAAATATCTAAGGGGTATGGAAATCTCTACGCAAATAACCCAAGGATCCAAAGATTAATAATTGGAGATTACAAAATATGGGGGAATTTAGAGCCAGGTATGCTTAGCAGTTAACATTTAGATGTTGAGTGGCGTATCGCAGTTGCCAGCCTAAGTTAAAAGCAGAGTTTAAGTTTCTAGGAAGGGTTTTTATACTAGAGAAGTTATTTTTATCAGTGACTAAGACTTTTCCACAACCGAAGTTCAATTGAGGAGAGGAAGGAGGTGACATTTTGGGGAAAGACTGATTTGAGAATAACATTAAAAGTGAATCCTCAGAATCAGGGCACAATTTCTTAGCTAAGGTAAATCAGAAAGAAGATTCACTTAAAAATTATATAAAGAGTGGGTGGCACTAAAACTATTGAGTCCTTTTTGCTGCTTATCAGGATTGACATGATCACTGTGAGGGTTTATATCTAAACATAGGTAAAACTTTGGACCACATGGATACTAGGGAGATAGAGATGGGGATACTTGGTTTTGTCAGGGCTGGTTAGTATTGTTAAGGTGTTTTAATGGATAGCATATTGAGTGGATTTTCAAGATGGTATGAAATAGACTCCTTAACTCTCTCATGGTCTGTCTGTATGGATATGTTTCTTTTTTCCTAGATCTATTAAGAAATTAGTATCTAACTCAGTCCTTTTCATGTAATAGATATTGAAAAATCAGGGACTGTGTCTTTCTTATTTTTGTATTCTTGGTGCCTAGCATGGTTCTTGGCACTAATATGCTCCCAATAATTGTCCAAATGAACTGACCTAATCTAGAAAGAATTATAAGAGACATGACATGAAGGAGAAATAGGATGATGAAATGAAGGATCAAGTAAATTTTAAAAATAGTTGTGTTAAAATGTAAATTTACCTGTATGCAAAAATACACCAGAATGTATAATCTAAACTCTTTTTTTAAAAACAGAGAATGGAATGGTGGAGTTAGATGACTTTATAAGTACTCTCGCCAACGAGCAAAGTTTTCCTGAATGCAATGGTAGGTAGGAAATTTGTTTTAAAATGATTTAGAGGGAAGAACAGTGCTGATTGAGAAGAATTAGGTTCAACAGAACTGGGCTTGCTTTTGGATGGATACTTAATAGTCATGTGACTCTTAGGCAAGTCAGTTGCCAGTTTTTAAAAACTTGCTATATCAGAGTAATAATAGCTCAGGTGTTCACCTCACAGAGTTGTCATGTGAATTTTGCAAACTGAACAGTGATCCATAAATATATGGCAATAATGATCATGTGGAGATCAAATAGGTAATTAGTAACATTGATTAGGAATTGATGGGTGATATGTTTGTTTGTTTGTTTGTTTTTCCCCAGTGGACTTCTTTGAATGAAATACTTGTTTGGTTCACCTTTGATTTAGAACTTTTAAAAACAACTTTATCAAGGTATAATTTATGTACATGAAATTCACTCATCCACTGATTTTTATTAAATTGATTGAGTTGTACCACAATACTCTTTTTTTGCTTGCAATATTTTTATACAAATGATTAAATATTTTTTAGCAAGATTAAAATGAGAAAGATATTAAAGCTTGCTGTTTTTATTTTGTTCTGTTTATGCATGTGCTGAAAAAGAAACATAAGCTTTTTGTTTCTTTCCAAAAAATTCCCCAGATAAGGAAAGATTAGTCCAAAGCAAGAGATTTCCTTTTATACTTACATGAAGAGACTTATGTTAAAAGCTACATTATCATTTGTCATTTCTGATGAATGTAAGTGGCGAAGTGTCTGGATTTATTGAAGACAATATTAGTAAATCTATTTCTTTTAAAAAGTGTTCCTTTATGTTCAGTTTGTAAGCAAATAGACTATTATTATTATACTTTAAGTTCTGGGATACATGTGCAGAATGTGCAGGTTTGTTACATAGGTATACACATGCTATGGTGGTTTGCTGCACCCTTCAACCTGTCATCTACATTAGGTATTTCTCCTAATGCTATCCCTCCACTAGCCCTCCACCCTCCAACAGGCCCCAGTGTATGAAGTTCCTCTCCCTGTGTCCACGTGTTCTCATTGTTCAACTCCCACTTATGAGTGAGAACATGTGGTGTTTGGTTTTCTGTTCCCACATTCATTTGCTGAGGATGATGGTTTCCAGCTTCAACCATGTCCCTGCAAAGGACAGGAACTCATTCTTTATTATGGCTGTATAGTATTCCATGGTGTATATGTGCCACATTTTCTTTATCCAGACTGTCATTGATGGGCATTTGGGTTGGTTCCAAGTCTTTGCTATTGTGAACAACACTGCAATAAACATACGTATGCATGTGTCTTTATAGTAGAATGATTTATAATCCTTTGGGTATATACCCAGTAATGGGATTACTGGGTCAAATGGTATTTCTGGTTCTAGATCCTTGAGGAATTGCCATACTATCTTCCACAATGGTTGAATTAATTTACATTCCCACCAACAGTGTAAAAGCGTTCCTATTTCTCCACATCCTCTCCAGCATCTGTTGTTTCCTGACTTTTTAATGATCACCATTCTAACTGGTGTGAGATGGTATCTCATTGTGGTTTTGATTTGTGTTTCTTTAATGACCAGTGATGAGCTTTCTTTTTCATGTTTGTTGGCTGCATAAATTTCTCCTTCTTTTTTTTTTTTTTTTTTTTTTTGAGACAAAGTCTCACTCTGTCACCCAGGCTGGAGTGCAGTGGCGTGGTCTTGGCTCACTGCAGCCTTTGCCTCCTGGGTTCAAGTGATTCTCCTGCCTCAGCCTCCTGAGTAGCTGGGACCTCCTGAGTACAGGTGCATGCCACCATGCCCGGCTAATTTTTTGTATTTTTAGTAGAGACAGGGTTTCACCGTGTTAGCCAGGATAGTCTTGATCTCCTGACCTTGTGATCCGTCCACCTCAGCCTCCCAAAGTGAAATCTCTTCTTTTTTTTTTTTTTTTTTTTTGAGACGGAGTCTCACTCTGTCGCCCAGGCTGGAGTGCAGTGGCCGGATCTCAGCTCACTGCAAGCTCCGCCTCCCGGGTTCACGCCATTCTCCTGCCTCAGCCTCCCGAGTAGCTGGGACTACAGGCGCCCGCCACCTCGCCCGGCTAGTTTTTTGTATTTTTTTAGTAGAGACGGGGTTTCACTGTGTTAGCCAGGATGGTCTTGATCTCCTGACCTCGTGATCCGCCCGTCTCGGCCTCCCAAAGTGCTGGGATTACAGGCTTGAGCCACCGCGCCCGGCCGAAATCTCTTCTTTTGAGAAGCGTCTGTTCATATCCTTTACCCACTTTTTGATAGGTTTGTTTTTTTCTTGTAAATTTGTTTAAGTGCTTTGTAGATTCTGGATATTAGCCCTTTGTCAGATGGATAGGTTGCAATATTTTTCTCCCATTCTGTAGGTTCCCTGTTCACTCTGATGATAGTTTCTTTTGCTGTGCAGAAGTTCTTTAGTTTAATTAGATCCCATTTGTCAATTTTGGCTTTTCTTGCCGTTGCTTTTGGTGTTTTAGTCATAAAGGCTTTGCCCATGCCTATATCCTGAATGGTATTGCCTAGGTTTTCTTCTAGGGTTTTTATGGTTTTAGATCTTACGTTTAAGTCTTTAATACATCTTGAGTTATATTTTCTATTAGGTGTAAGGAAGGATTCCAATTTCAGTTTTCTGCATATGGCTAGTCAGTTTTCCAAACACCATTTATTAAATAGGGAATCATTTCCCATTGCTTGTTTCTGTTAGGTTTGCCGGAGATCAGATGGTTGTAAATGTGTGGTGCTATTTGAGGCCTCTGTTCTGTTCCATTGGTCTATATATCTGTTCTGGTACCAGTACCATGCTGTTTGCTGTTTTGATTACTGTAGCCTTTTAGTATAGTTTGAAGTCAGGTAGCACGATGCCTATAGCTTTCTTCTTTTTGCTTAGGATTGTCTTGGCTATACAGGCTCTTTTTTGGTTCCATATGAAATTTAAAGTATATTTTTAATTTTGTGAAGAAAGTCAATGGTAGCTTGATGGGGATAGCATAGAATCTATAAATTACTTTGGGCAGGATGGCCATTTTCATGATATTGATCATTCCTATCCATGAGCATGGAATTTTTTTTTCATTTGTTTGTGTCCTCTCTTATTTTCTTGAGCAGTGGTTTGTAGTTCTCCTTGAAGAGGTCCTTCACCTCCCTTGTAAGTTGTATTCCTAGGTATTTTATTCTCTTTGTAGCAGTTGTGAATGGGAGTTCACTCATGATTTGGTTGTCCACTTGCCTGTTTTCGATGCATAGGAATGCTTGTGATATTTGCACATTGATTTTGTATCCTGAGACCTTGCTGAAGTTGTTTATCAGCTTGAGATTTTGTGCTGAGACGATGGGGTTTTCTAAATATACAATCATGTCATCTGCAAACAGAGACAATTGAACTTCCTCTCTTCCTATGTGAATACCCTTTCTTTCTTTCTCTTGCCTGATTGCTGTGGCCAGAACTTCCAATACTATGTTGAATAGGAGTGGTGAGAGAGGGCATCCTTGTCTTGTGCTGGTGTTCAAAGGGAATGCTTCCAATTTTTGCCCATTCAGTATGATATTGGCTGTGGGTTTGTCATAATTAGCTCTTATTATTTTGAGATATGTTCCATCAATACCTAGTTTATTGAGAGTTTTTAGCATGAAGGGGTGTTTAATTTTATTGAAGGCCTTTTCTGCATCTATTGAGGTAATCATGTGGTTTTTGTCATTGGTTCTGTTTATGTGATGGGTTACATTTATTGATTTGCATATGTTGAACCAGCCTTGCATCCCAGGGATGAAGTCGACTTAATCGTGGTGGATAAGCTTTTTGATGTGTGGCTGGATTCTGTTTGCCGGTATTTTATTGAGGATTTTCACATCAATGTTCATAAGAGATGTTGGCCTGAAATTTTCTTTTTTTGTTGTGTCTCTGCCAGGCTTTGGTATCAGGATGATGTTGGCCTCATAAAATGAGTTAGAGTGGAGTCCTTCTTTTTCTATTGTTTGGAATAGTTTCAGAAGGAATGGTACCAACCCCTCCTTGTACCTCTGGTAGAATTTAACTCTGAATCAATCTGGTCCTGGGCTTTTATTGGTTGGTGGGTTATTAATTACTGCCTCATTTTCAGAACTTGTTATTGGTCTGTTCAGGGATTCAACTTTTTCCTGGTTTAGTCTTGGAAGGGTATATGTGTCCAGGAATTTATCCATTTCTTCTAGATTTTCTATTTTATTTGTGTAGAGGTGTTTATAGTATTCTCTGATGGTAGTTTGTATTTCTGTGGGGTCAGTGCTGATATCCCCTTTATCATTTTTTATTGTGTCTATTTGATTCTTTTCTGTTTTCTTCTTTATTAGTCTTGCTAGCAGTCTATCTATTTTGTTAATCATTTCAAAAAAACAGCTTCTGGATTCATTGATTTTTTGAAGTATTCTTCATGTCTCTATCTCTTTCTGTTTTTCTTTGATCTTAGTTATTTCTTGTCTTCTGATAGCATTTGAATTTGCTTGCCCTTGCTTCTCTAGTTCTTTTAATTGTGATGTTAGGGTGTCGATGTTAGATCTTTCCTGCCTTCTCCTGTGGACATTTAGTGCTATGAATTTCCCTATAAACACTGCTTTAGCTGCGTCCCACAGATTCTGGTACATTGTGTCTTTGTTCTCATTTGTTTCAAGTAACTTATTTATTTCTGCTTTCATTTCGTTATTTACCCATTAGTCATTCAGGAGCAGGTTGTTCAGTTTCCATGTAGTTGTTTGGTTTTGAGTGAGTTTCTTAATCCTGAGTTCTAATTTGATTGCACTGTGGTCTGAGAGATTGTTATGATTTCCATTCTTTTACATTTGCTGAGGAGTATTTTACTTCCAATTATGTGGTTAATTTTAGAATAAGTGCGATGTAGTGCTGAGAAGAATGTATATTCTGTTAATTTGGGGTGGAGAGTTCTGTAGATGTCTATTAGGTCTGCTTGATCTAGAGCTGAGTTCAAGTCCTGAATATCCTTATTAATTTTTTGTCTCCTTTA